AGTTTGTCCAAAGTAGCACCTTACCTATTTCTGCCGCCAAACCCAAGGAGCACACTTTATACGCCATAAAACTGTTATATCTATAAACAGTCTTAGGGTCGTATTCCAGAACTCTACTAAATGCTCAAGTCAGGACTTGAGCAAACTTGCATATGATTTTAAGCACTGGAAATACGACCCTAATGGCATGGACTTGAGTATGATTTTCAGTGCTTTAAATCATACTCAAGTCCTGACTTGAGCATTGAGTAGAGTTCTGGAATACGACCCGCAATATGGTATAGATTTAGATAATAGTTCTCTGTAATTTTTTTTAGAAAAATGGAATTGTTCTTATAGACTTATTTCACTCAAGTCAACATTTTAAAACCTTAATACCAAATCACTTAATTAAGTGTAATCTCTCTTATGATTTACTCTTATAGTGCTTATTATTATTTTAAGTTCATCTGTAGAACAACTGATTATTTTTAGTAAAATTGTTCTATACACATCCAGTAAAGTCTATTAATACTCTAAAAACTAGTGTTCTTAAGTTTATTCTAGATATATTTAACATTCCCTAGTTTTTGTACTTATTAACAAACACGTTATAGCGCGTCTTCAGTAGATTTTATTTAAAAAATACTACAATTAGGGTTTTTACTCTACGTTGTAAGAGTTCATGCAAAATGGATAAAGTAAAGAATATTAAGAGATCCGGTTGAGGTGGTGAACCTTGGATATTAAGTCACATCATTCGATACAACCAGTGTTTTTTCAACAATTGGCATTGGTAATGCCAATTGTTCAAAATCCCCAAAAATCACGGTTAAAATCCCCAAAAGTTCATGTTCCCCACACATTCCCCACATCTCGAGTTTTCATTGTTTAGTAGAAATACATCGATTAAAAATATAATAAAGAATTAAGAAACTCAAAATGTAATAATCTATTACGTTTGCTGTGAATGTAAACAGAATGTAAAACGTATAATCTCAGTACAGAGTACTAAAAAAAACCGACCTCAAAAGTACATGGAATTACGTCTATTTGCTAAGTTTTATTGAAATATCCCCTAGTTCGCCACTATCCAGGACTTGACACTGGAGATAATAAAAATCGGTTCTCACTACTCAAAGTATATGGAGAGAAAAACGCCTTGAATTGGAGAAATAGCAAAATCAACCATCAAAACAATTGCTCCTTAATTAAAATTAGGCGCTATTTATAAAAATGAATCTTCATGCGTGAACAGCCATCCTTAGAGGTAGATGCTTTTCTTCAAAATGAAATGGGATCACTATGGAAGTATCCCCTTTTAAACAAAAAAAGAATCATGAAAATCGGTTCACAAATATCGGAGTTATCGCGTAAAATACATACAAAAAAAGAACATATGGTCGAATTGAGAACCTCCTCCTTTTTTGAAGTCGGTTAAAAACTAATTATAAAATTAGATGACCTGAAATCGTTTTTTTGATTTGAACTCTTAAAATATTCAATCGAATTAAATTCTATTACATATCTTATAGTAGGTATATATTTAGATATGGGTGTGCTGCTTGGGAGTAGTAACGTGTGCATTATTGCTGTATTACTTTATACTATATCTACTACTGGTTTTGAAGGGTAAAGGTGCTGGTGAAATTACAGGCACTTGGGACTTATCACAGGCGCAGTGACGATGTCCCTCAGGTCTTTGCGATTTGAAGCTCTGAGTGGCACTGCAACTGTTATGGATAGGCGCGTAGCTTTCCACCAGGCACACGACTTGCTCGACCCGTCACTTGATATTGTAAAAAAAACACGTGTAATAATGTGTTAAGTTCCTGCATCGACCGCATCGTATCCGCGTGGGAGTTACAGCACAAGCCTTCCAATTGTGAGACGACGCCTATGCTCAGTAGTGGGACCATACATAGGTTAACTGCTATTATTATGCTTTTATTTTCAGTTCCGTCAAGTCGAAGATTGCATTATAAACTTATGATGAACCAGAATCCAAGACATAGGAGATTGAATAGACAAGGCAGAAAATTAAAAAAATGACAAATAAAATACAAGAAAAAGAAAATCCCAATTAATAACGAATAAAGAATAAATAAAAAAATAATTTGTGGTAATTACTATTACTAATTTAATAATAAAGTTTCATTAATAAACATATTGTTAACAGTAATTGCAACAAATTAATTTTTAATTTAAAATTTATTCGTTATATATACATAGCGATAGTGAAAAATAGGGTGGTTGGCATTAATATTAGACGTAACTGGTTGATAACTTTACCATCCAGTCACCCGTGATCATAAGACTTGTAAAAGGCCCGAAACGATGGCTTGTTTAAAAAAACAAATATTTGCGATTTAGATTCGAAAATATAGTTTCGTTTCCAACTTTTCTACATTAGTTTTGACTTGGATGTTGGGAAGTGAGTTTCGTTGCTCTGGTTTTCATAGTATTACTTTCAAAACAGGTAATTCGTGTGGTTGTTTGTATAAAAATAAATATAAAGAGTAAATATTGCCAGCCAACTGGACGCGATGCCTCTTGGCACGGCCTTTGATAAAGTTTTATACAAACGAGGTGGTAAGCGCACCGTAGCTTAGTGCCTATTCTATTTGTTAATAAAGGATATAAAACTAGTACATGTATTTTGTTTTTCTTTTTGATATTACTCATAATTTAATTTATTATTTCGTGTGATGTTTTTTATGACACCTAGTGACAGGATTATCAAGTCATGCTCCTGGTAAGCGACGCGCCTGTCTATAGAAGTTGCGGTACCACTCAAAGCTTTAAATCGCAAAGAGTTATTAGCACAAAAAAATGTATACGTGTTATGACCTGTAAGTCACCACTTGACTCCTGTAAACCTATATTGAGATCATCCCTCGAAATTATAGAAATCCTAACAAATTACTTCTTTTTGAAGTACCAAAGATAGAAAAATAAAATCAAAACGGTTTGTGCGCGTGTGTCAGAATTTACAATAGAGTACCAAATGACATTAAAGACTTGCCCGTTCAATTCTTTAAGACGAAATTAATATGGGATATTTTAGAGAGAATTTTTTCAATAATTGTTGTTATATAAAAACATTTAAATAAATTTAAGTACGACTATTATTATTAATATACACATTATTACTAAGTCGTATTCTGTTGTGCCTTCAGTTAAACTTGCTGATAATTCCCTTACAAAAAGTGGAACGGTTTAAATATCTGGGGCATTGGGTCCCTGATGATCTAAATGATAATTTAGATACAGAACGGGAGCGCAGGGCGCTGTCTGAGGTTTGCACGTAGTAGCGACCAGGTTAAGGTTTTGCTTTTCAAAGTATATTGCCAATCCTTCTACACGTGCTATTTAAGTTGCCGCGTTACTGTAGTGCCTCCACTATGATTGCTGAGGCTCGTACAGATTGCTTTTATTCAGTTATATGAAAGCATTGTGCCTCACTCCTGTCTCGGCTATGAGGCAGCACGAATGGCATCCTTAGCACCCTTGCCGCTAGATGGAACTCTCCGATGGTAAGGCGCTGGGTGCAGCTGCATAAGGCTCCAAGCCGGTAGCTGCGCCTCGAGCCTTTCTGCAGGGGAATCTCATTAATAAATATTAAAACGTACTTTCCCAGTTGTTACTAACACTAATTTTTAAGTTTTTAAGTTATTTTGTTACTAACACTACGGATATATAGTTCGAAATAAATTATTATTATTATTAATGTAATACTGATTGTATAATTTAATTTGACCATGTGACGACCAATTTTTTGCACGCCTATCTTATTTAAGGCGAAACGTGTTTGTACTCACTATATTACTTTGTTATCTTGACCACCACGTTTGTAACAAATAACTAATTTGATTTAATTTGAAGGATCTGAGCACTTTGGTGGGTACCGCTAAGCGTGCTGGTAAGTGTAGTATGCAAATGTTTGTTGGAAACCGAGAGACGGTTTTCACGTTAACCGTGTAGCTGTTCAAAGTATTATCCTTCCTATACTCACCACTACATACAATAACTACGTACGTGTTACAATTTCTGTATCAAACTCGGATGCTGTACACGTATCTCTCTAAGGGTTCCTACTGTAGCAATATCTTTTATAGTTCCAGGCAGAGACGTCATAAAAGAGGGTTAATGCCGTTGTCCACCACCCTGGCCACGTCTTCGAATTGTTATATGAACTAACACGTAGTTTTCATTTAAAGGTTTTTTTTTATTATATCAAGTGACGGGACGAACAATTCGTGCGCCTGATGGTAAGCTACACGCCTGTCCATAACAGTTGCAGTGCCATTCCGAGCTGTAAATCGCAAAGATCTGAGGGGTATTGCCACTGCGCCCGTTACCCCATTTACCCTGAGACATAAGTTGACAAGTCCCATGTGCCTGTAATTTCACCAGCAGTTCATATACATACTTAATGTTGCCGCGGGATGGCTCTTCAGGTCAACGTTGTTCACCTTCAAAAATTCATTGTCTGTCTGGCCGTGTGAGAACTGGTATTATCGTGATGCAAGATGATTTGATGTTTACGGTTATTTTTACGGACTTTGTCATATATAGCTTCCGGTCCAAATAAATGGTCGTGTACCAATCACTATCCACGGTACAACGATTCTCCAAAGCAACAGTAGCCACGTGTCCAGTTTTACTAAAAAAAGAACAGCCCTTCAAAATCGGAACAAAGTTATGTTGATATTACAGCGCGTAGCGGTAGAGATAGGTAAGGTGGTACTTCCCTGGACGTACCACCTTACTCTTTCATAAAGAGTTCTAGTGCTACCAAGTTATACTGGAGGAATAACGAACGATACTGCATTATGTCTGTTACACAAATACGAACTGAAACTATTTTTATCGGTTCTTCAAAATGGTTTCAGCCGTGACCGTGGGATCTGTAAAGGCCCTGAACCGTTTTGGTTTATTTTAGAAAAAATGGGCTGCAAAACTATACGTGATTACGTTATATCTGGTCCGTCCCAAAAGTATCGAACATTTTTCAGGAAAAATACTTTTATTGAACTTATCGGTACCATACATTAGTACTCTTCAAAATAACACCCTTCAGCAGCGATGCACTTTTGTAGGCGAGTTTTCCATGCCCGGAAGGTCCCCTGGAAGACGTCAACGGGTAGGTCCTTCAGCGCCCTCGTCGTAGCTTCTTGGATGTCCTTAATTGTGCCCCAATGCTTGCCTTTGAGCTTCGACTTGATGCTGGGAAACAAGAAGAAGTCTGCCGGGGCGACGTCAGGACTGTTGGGAGGCTGCGGGACCAGCGGGCTTCGTCGGTCACCTCTTCCCTTCCGTCACGGAACATCTTGTGCCACTTCCTGACCGAGGATTCGGACAAGGCTTTGTCCTTGAAGGCCTGTTTAATCATCTCGTTGGTTTCCACAGTATTTTTGCGGAGTAGAACACAAAATTTCACTGCGTACCTCTGTTCTAACGGATCCGTCATCGCGCTACTTTTAAAAACTTCGACGAGGTGTCGTTTAGAGCTCTACGCGAACGCACGTCCTGCCGCTCCAGGTGCTCGGAGCCAACTGGGACCGGTCGCGCTGTATCGGCTAGATCCCCCCACCACTTTCTGTTGCCAAGCGGAGCGCTTCCCGCCGTTCGGCAACACTCCCAAAAAAAATGTTCGATACTTTTGGGTGTATATGTGGTTTAGGTCGCGGAAACCTAAAAACTCGATCTTCATCACCATCTTCATCAACCCATTTATACTGCTGCTGGGCACGGGTTTACTCTCAGGCGAGGGTTTAGGCCATAATCCGCCACGCTGGCCCAATGTGGGTTGGGGACTTCACACGTTTTCCGAGGGTTGTGAACCTTCTTCTTTTTTAGTTTTATTTTTATTTTTTCTATTTTAAATATCATTATACATTTGCTGATAACTAGATCCCATGATGAATGAAAGCTTAAAACCGTCTTCTCGGTTGAATTTACGGTGTTTTTCATTTTCAATAGCTTCACGTAAGTACGATTCTGGTATAGTGATGACGTTCTGTAGAATGGATCTTGGTATTATGAAGATCAATTCAGTGGTTTGGTCCTGATTCCAGCAAATGTTCGGTTATTGCAGACTTATTGAGCTGACGGTTCTTAACAGCCGCGATGTGTTCTTTAACTCTTTCCGCTATGGTGCGTTTTGTCTGTCCTATATAGGAACTCCCACAACTGAAATCAATCTTGTAAACGCCCGGAGATTGAAAAAAAAGCAATGCTATTGGCCTACATTTTGTCTTTGAGAGTATGTATAGTGTTGGTGAATTACATGTGATTGTATTGGGAGTATGTGTGAGAGAAGTGCACTGAGAATAGTACAATACTTAGTACTAGTTAATACTAAATTTTATTATTATCATTATTATTTTTTTCTTTTCTTTACCTCTTTCTTTTTTTTGTCTTCCTCTTTGGGAGTATCTGAGAGAGGAGAGTTTACAGGAATAGTTCTTTGTACTTAATACTACATTTTTTATTTATGTTATTATATATAAATTTTTCTTTTTCCTTTTCTTTCCCTTTTCCCCTCTTTTTTCCCGGTTCTTTTTGTTTCCTTGCTTTATTTTTTTTATTTTAATATTTGTCTTTTATTTTTGTTGTCCTTTCCCTTTATTTAATTTTTGACCTTGCATCTCGTTCCTTCCTTTTTCCCCTCTCTTTTTCCTGTTCTGTATTCATTTTTCCCTATTCTATCCTTTTCTTTCCTTTCCCTTTACTTACTTTATTCTTTCTTCCCCATTCTTTCTCTTTTCCTTTTCCTTCTTCATTTTCTTTTCCAATTCTTTTCCCTTCAGTTTGCTTTCCACTCTTCTTTTTCTTTTATTTTTTCCCTTGTTTTCCCTTCTCTTTTTCTTTCCCTTTTTACTTTTTTTCTTAACAAATAACACAATATGATGGCAAAAGATGCTATCTTCTTAACCAGGATAATTTTTCTTTTCTTCATATTTCGTATCGTAGATTCATCTATGTTACAACAATGTTTGGTAGAATTCTGAAGTTTCCAATACGAAGTTATATAAAATAAAATTCAAATCCTAATAACAAAATGAAGAAAGATAATAGCTGAATTGATTTCCCAAAATTCAGAAGCAAAAAATGTCTTTGTTTTACGAGTAAGCTAACTTGAAATTATCATATTGATTAGACAATTCTACTCATTCGTAATATAAGCAGATCACCCTGAGAAGAAAAAGTAAAGGCTCTCAAATTAGTCGCTTGAAGAAGTGCTGCAGTGTGGACTTGTTTTTTGTATATTCCGTGATTACTCCGATATTTGTGCACCGATTTTGATGATTCTTTTTTTGATGGAAAGGATATACGTCTGTAGTGATCTCATTCAAATTTGAAGAAAATATTCCAACTCTAAGGGTAGCGAATTAGGAAATGAATGTGGTTTATTTGATTTCACCCACTGTATAACCGATTTCAATAAACGTGACAAATAAATGTAATTCAATAAACTTTTGAGGCCATTTTCTTCCTAAAATGTTATAATTCATGAAAAAATTACGAACTTTCTTGATATGTAATT